AGACTCGTGTAACTCTCACTATTATCATGTTTACGCCTTCTCTAGCGCAAACCTGTGATCAAGGGTGCAGTGAGCAGCACTGGACCTAAGGAGCAAAGCTCCTAATGGCAAAAAAAAAACTTTGCACCTAATGATACAAAGCTGCTTGAACCAGTCTCTGGCTGCAGCTCTGCCTCAGTTTCCCCCTGACTCATTTCTATTTAGACCGGTGATATTCAAGGAAGGGACTGAGGCACCCTGGGGTGCCATTCGGGGTGCTGCAGAGGCCACCTACAAACCTTGTTAGGTGTTAGGGCAACATTGGCCCAATCCTCCAATGTGCCGAGGTCACTCTGAATCCTAGTCCTACCCTCCAGCATATCTACTACTCCCCCCCAGCTTGGTGTCATTTGCAAACTTGCTGAGGGTGCACTCCATCCCATCTTCCAGGTTGCTGATAAAGACATTGAACAAAACTGGTCCTAAGACTAACAAGGTGTGTGGGTGGTCCCTGAAGATCACCAGACGGGCACCCCTGGGTGCCTCAGTCCCTTGGTTGAGAATCACTGCCTAAATAGAAATGAGTCAGAGGGGAAACCGAGGCAGAGTTGCAGCTACAGACCGTGGTTCAAGCAGCTTTTCGTCATGTCATGGGAAAGGACAAAGAGGAGCCGTCCTGGGTTTCTATGTCACTCTACTGTTTTTTCCCACTGCTGCCCAACAGTGGCAGCAACGGTAAATTAGTGGGCTAAAAGCCCAAGGCCCAAGTCATCAAATAGGTCTACTCTGGTTTTGTGCCTCTGTGAAACAAAACATCATTTCTGAGAAGCCAGAGATCAAATGGAGGTGTTCCTGGTGGCACAAGTCGCAGCTGTATATTCAGTGCGGGACAGAAAATGGCAGGAAAATAACGTGTTCTTCATTCCTTATAGGGCCAGTTTAAAATCCGACCCCCAAGGTGCTTGGTGCTGTCCAAACTCACAGTGGGAGATGGTCATGACCCTGTCAGTCTAAATGCACAGTGAGTAGCAGGGGAAACTGAGGCACTGAAAGGGCCCAGATGTACCCAATTTATCTCAGTTGGTCCAAGGCAAAGCAAGGCGCAGTGCTGTTCCTCTAGCCCTGCTGTGCAGCCATGTCTGGGGTGGACACAGCTGCACATCTGCATGATACATCAGGCCCTGCACAAGTGACACAGTCGAACGAACCATAAAATCACAGGTGATAGAGTTATGAAGTGACAGGATTTGGGATTAGTTGGGAAAGCACGCAAGAAAATTACCCCCTTGACTCATGAACAGCAGTAAAATGGGAGAGAAAATAGGATTATAATAAATGGGGCGGGGATTTGGTCTCAGTGACACTTGCTTGTTGCAATATTGTCACCCACCAAATTCACTTCACACAGACACAAATCGGTCCCTTGTGGCGCGCGCTTAAACTGGTCCCTGTGAAGAATGTGCTTGGCACTGCTGATCCCAGAGGCTTAAAAGGTCTTCTTGAATCTCAGTGTAATCAAGTCAACTAACACCCAGGAAAAAGCCAACCTATTAAATGGGTACTTTGCATCAGTCTTTCATCAGTCCCATGGGACGCCCATGCCCACTATGGGGCAGGGAGGCTTGGGTGAGGGAGATTCCCTGCCCTCCATCAATGCTGACCTCATGAAGGAACACCTTGAGAGGCTGGATACCTTCGAGTCAGCCGGCCCTGACAATCTACACCCCAGGGTACGCAAGGAGCTGGCGAGCATCATAGCCCAGCCTCTGGCACAGAGCTTTGAGAACTCCTGGGGCTCTGGTGTAGTGCCCGATGACTGGAAGAAGGCCAATGTGGTGCCTATCTTCAAGAAAGGGAGGAAAGTGGATCTGGCAAACTATAGGCCCATCAGCCTGACCTCTATGCCGGGGAAGGTCTTAGGAAAGTTTATTAAAGAGGCCATCCTTAATGGACTGGCTGACACCAACATCCTGAGGGATAGCCAGCACGGGTTTGTTGCAGGTAGGTCTTGCCTGACCAATCTCATTTCCTTTTATGACCAGGTGACCTATCACCTGGACAAGGGAGAAGAGATTGATGTCATATATCTTGACTTAAAAAAAGCCTTCAATCTGGTATCCCATGATCACCTCT